AAGTCAGTCAGAGTGGTTAAAGCAGAGGTTACGATCTAAACCCGGTGCACCAAGTTTCTTAACCTTGCTTTTGTTCATAATACAATGACTTGCAACTCAATATAGAATTAAAACCTAATTAACTGAGGTATTTCTTTAAAAAAAAAAAACAAACAGTATGGATCCCAGTATGGCTCGAGTTTCTTGTCGTTATATTTTTTGATCATGACAAAAAAAAAATCAATGTTTTTTTTTTACAATGTCTTAACAGGCAATGACAAAACTTTTAAGTATTTTCTTTTTTTTTAAGTTAGGTTGGGCAGTAAGGTCCTTAAATAAGCAGTTTGTTTGCATTGTACTTGTAATGATATTTTGAGCACAGTTTGGCCTTAATTCCAGTGCTGCGCTTTCTTCACAACGAGCACAATATAAACATTAGCTCATGGCTCGACACACAGCTCCAGCAGGAAGGCCATATGTTGGGAATAACCGTAGTTATCCTTGGACGACCTATGGCATCATGAATGCAATACATGACGTTAAAGGTCCCTTGAAAAGTAATGTAATCTCTTCATGAGCTTAAATCCAAAGACCAGATCCCGAGGTTCAGCTCCGTCTAGATTGAAAAAAAAAAACCAAACAAACTATAAGGGCTTCAAAAAAATTGCTAAAACCAAACAAGTGACTCCCATCGGACGGATAAGACCAACTCCGACGGCATCCGTGTGTCCACCTGAGTGTGGTTTGTTATCTAAAACTAGTCTATAGTCTATTACCATGAACAGATACACATACACCCCCAATCTATTATTGAACAAAAGGCTCACGCCTCTGCTCAGCCCTTCAGGGAGGAATCCATCCCTCCATCCTAGAATAATTTCACACATCGGTAGGTACACAAAAGAGAAGGAGAGAGAGAGGGCAAAAAGGAGGGAAGGGAGGAAAGGACAGAGACGAGAAGGTGGAGAAGGAGGAGAGCATGGGGTAAAAAATGCATGGGGTCACAGCTCAGTGCTTGTGGGAGGCCAAGCAAAGAGTCATGCACGACAAAACAGAGATCAGAGGATCATGTGCAGTTGTGCATGTGTGAAAGACAACACACACACACACACACAATAGGAACTAATAAGGTGAAGACCTGGTGAGTCTTAATCAAAGTCATTCAAACAAAAAAACGAAATGAACACACATGCTGTGACGGAGTCCACTGGCCCTCACCCTAATCTCAACTCATGCTATAAATGTACTAATTTTCAACAATCTGATACTGATTCTTATCCTAATCCTAATCCTAATCCTAGCTCCAACGTCAATCTACAAGGCAAAACACCCTCTCCTTCACAGTGGGGACAAAGTGTCCCAACAACAATGGCAATTTTCCACAAAAAAATATCTCAACAAGTACAGCTACAGCTGAATCAGGTACACACACACTGACACACACACATATCCACCGATGCGCACACAGAAAAGATAATCCTATTTCTAAATGTAGAAATCTATAAAAAGAAACCCAGCACCCAAACAGAGCCAATACAAAACCAGATGGGATTCTTTACAGGGAAACATATAGAAATAAAAGATTGATTGAAAACAAAAACGACAAAACCAGGGGGCAAACCCCTGCCCTTCAAATCCCCCCAACACACAGGCACACACACATACACATACACATACATACACATACATACACATACATACAGCCCATAAACACACACTAAGAATTCCAAATACCGTTTGTTTTCAACAAGTAAAATGTCAATCAAACATAACTGTGCTTCACAGATGATAACTGGTCCGGACCAGAATCACATTATGAATGGACACACACACACGTGAGGGGAGGACAGAACCGAAGACAGAAATTGACAGCTGACTTGACAGCCGGCAGCTGATTGGTCAGGGACTCCCACATTAAGGTTAGACCACAGTCTGCGGTGGACGTACAAACCGGACATGCATGTGGAATCTGATGACCGGCGATGACTTTAATTTTCGACATGCTGCTGATGAAAGCTGCTCTAACTTCTTGCACTGTGTGCAATACACACAGATAACAAACACAAAAAAATCAATACCGGTGTTGCAGCAGCTACACAATCATCGACCACAATAATCTGACGTGGTGCATATCCCTAACACACACCCCTGGTCGAAAAAACACGCTGAGACACAAACATGCATTAGATGCACATCAAGCGTTCCACCCCAAGAAAGCATCAAGGAGGAGCAGCAGACACAATGGAGTGTTTAAGTATGCAGGAAACTTTATGCCTGGGTGGAAAAGGAGCTTTGAAGGAATTCGCTGAGGGACACCCAACCTCCTCCTGAACTGAGCCTGTACGTCCTCATCAGGATGAGGGAGAGTCACGGAGAGAGTTAGGAGAGGGAGAGGGGGAAGGAGAGGAAATGAAAGATAAAGATGAAAAGGACTGGACGGTGAGTTGAAAGGGAGACTTATGGAGAAAAAGAGGGAGAAAGGGCAAAAGAGGGGGCAGCAACAAGGTGCCCCGGCCGAGTCCCTGTGCTTTTGCACAATTGCTCTTGGCGAGGCTGATGAAAGTGAAAGACCATACACACACACACAGAGATACACACGCATGCTGCCTATTCATGTGAACAGCACACTGTTCAGTAGGCACCGGCTTTAACTCCCAGTATGACCTTCATTGAGATGGATTGCATGAAAAATGTAATAACTTTCCGGAGAGAAAAACCACAGGCCAAATCAGCTTTGCATTGCATAATAATGCCGGACGAGGTAATCAATAACACCAACACACAAACACACATACATAATGGAGTGCACACAGTCTGCACATGAAGAAAATGCCCTCGCGGTGGCCAACCACATCTCAATGAATGAAGCCCAGCACCAGCAGTGAGCCGTGCGATGAAATGCATGAACAAGTGGCCATTGACGATAAATGCCTGCAACCGTTTCCAGCCATCAAACACTTCCCAGCGCTCAAGGCAAACAGCTTTAGTTTGGGAACAACATGAAACTCAGTAAAGCCTTTCACACCCCAGATGTTTGGCCCAGGCTTACCTTCGGTTCTGAGTAAATAGTTGTCCCAAAATATTTGCCCCATTTTACCTCGCACCACATTACCAGACAGCCCAATTTACATTATCTGTTATTCATGCTGTTAATATAACGGTAATTTTAGCTCGGAGCAGGTCAACGTCAGCGCTATATTAATGAGTGAAAGTTGAACGTTAAAAAAAACAACTACGACAAAGCGACACACTATTAAACCCAGGGTTTTTCTAACTCAGGTTCTTTTACCTAAAGCTGAAAAATAAACAAACATTACTATGTTTTATTGACCTTTGTTTTTGTTTGTGTTTAAAGGCTATGGTGGAAAACCAATGTATATTTCTTAAAATGGAACAAAAATGTCACCTGTAGTTTGTTAAATCCTATTATTTTCTCACTTTCACCAACATCTAAATTCTAATTGTTAAACATGAACTGATTGACAGATTACACACACACACACACACACACACACAGAGAGAGACAATTAACCACTGAATTAAACAGCTATTTTTTTTTCTTTGATCGTAATTATGCATTTTAATAGTCCAGAAACTTGGGAAATTAGTTTCATGTTTTTTTCCAGCGATATTCTGCCAATTTTTTTTCCCTATAAAAATCTTTAGCTTTTCAACAGCCTGTTGTCACTGTGAGATAATTCTCTACATGATGCCAGTCATTGCCCAATATTGTTAAACTCAGAAGGTCATCGGCTAAATTCTTGTGTGTTCAGAAAAGCTCTGCACAAAGAAGTGAGAACAAAGAATAAAACATATTAAATTCTCCTTTTAAAAGTGATAAGTGAAGTAAGTCATGAAACGGTCTTAATTAAATGGGTTATTAACGTGAGATGACGTTTTTGTGGAATGGTAAAAAAATAATAACATTTATCAAACAGAATTAAGTTGGTGAAACTAAAATACTTTGAGTTACCAGCCCAAAGATTTTATTTTTTTATTTTTCTAGTTTTGCAGTGATGTGTTAAACTACTAGAGTTAGAACTACTAGAATTTAAATTTGAACATGAAGCCATATCACACAAATTATGTTACAACAAACAACATAAAATAAAATTATTCTCTGTCCTTTCTTTTTAATCATTATTTACTAATTTACTAATTGCCTCCATCCCTATTGACTGTGACTAGTTTTTGAGAAAATAAAGCGGATGTTTGGCAATCTCCATTCATTGTGCATTCATTTCCACATCAACAACACTTTTCGTCCAATTTAGAGCTATAAATTTGTAGCTATTATAATTTTTAAAACCTGATGTCACATTCTAATAAAGAAACTAAAAAGTAGAATTAACCTTACAAGTGAAAGTGTTAAATTAAGCTTTAAATCCAGGATGAAGTAGTCTGGGATTTTTTTATGATAAAATCCTCTGGGTGCACATCGACCACTTTTGTTCCGTTTCTTTTTATCTTTGAAAAAGAAAAAACATCATTTAATTTTGTTTTGAATGCAAGCGGCGCATCATTTTCAAAGTAACACAACAGAACAAAGAAAAGCCATTCTGCTCAGAAATGTGTTGGAACACCTAAGAGCTTTCTGTGGCTGCACAGCAGCAGAGTTAACAATCTTTATGTAATTGACCATAGGTCACCTGAACCTTGGTACACCCGTCAGGGAAAGGATTCAATCTGTGGACTTATTTCTTGCTTTCTAGCCTATAAGTCCTTTAGTTTTAGAGTCTGGAGCCTCTGATCCCTGTGCCTTAGCTCAGAGTTGTTTGGATTACAAAGTGAAATGGAGAACAACATGCCAAATGAAATCTACAGTCAGAGTGACACAGGCTGGGAACTCAGGTATAGCTATTTTATTTCCCAGTGCCACAGTTTTTAGGGTCCCACAATAAAAAGCTGTCATTGTGTTTGTTTACCCTTCTTCATCTCTCAATGTGACATTAGCCAAAAAAAAGCATCACCAGAAGGACAAAAATGTCACCGATATTTCACACCGCGTGTCGCGTTCCCACCTCGTTGGTGTTCCAGCGATGGCGCTCCTTGGGCAGAGAGGAACATTTGGGTAGACACTCCAGCAACTTCTTAGGAAGGTAGATTTTCAATTGGCCCGGCTCATCTGGAGTGGAATGGGAGGTGGGGGAGGACAGCGGGTTATGATATAGGGAGATAAATGGGGGGTGAGTGGGAAGAGCAGAGACATTTCTCATCAGCCACAGAGAAATTGCGAGAGGAGAGAGTACAAAAATGTAGGGTCGCTGAGATCAAGCTGACTTAAAATCATAACAACCTTGTACTGTGTGTAGTGTTTTGGGTGGCTTTACATGACCTTGAGTTAACAGTGGAGAGATTTGTTCATGCGAGTGAAGGACACAGAATTTAATTGAATTTTCAAAAGAAAAATTCAAATTAAATTCTCCGGTTACTGATCATTCCTTAAAAAAAAAAAATCAAAAAAAAAATCTCTACATTCTTCTAAAAAACACAAAAAGCTGAAATATAAAAAAAGATTAAAAAAAAAAATTATTTAATAAATAATTGTTTATAAATGCTTTTTGAAATAATTCAAGTAAGTTATATTATTTTCTGTGTATGATATAATATCATGTTGAATCATTAAGATAAATAAGAGCCTGAAGGTGAGTGCGTTTCACACCTGTTTTTATTTGTGACTAATCCAAATGATGGAATTATTAACATGGAAAAAAGTCAAGAAAAATATGCAAAAGTAAAGCTTCATATAATCGGTGATTCATGTCATGAATGTGATTCATGACGGGGGGTCAGAGAAGGCATCGATGGATTCCTTCAAAACTTCAGTCAACAATATTAACCAGTCTACAGACGATCACTATCTATTTGACCATCGTGTCTGTCAGCTTGTCAGATGTAGACTTATTTACTGCCCTGCGCTCCGAGAGGCCGTTCTGACGCAAACTGGACGTGTGAGCTGAAGTTGAAGCCTTCACCAAGGCATGCTGGGAGTTGAGATGGTAGTTTAAACTGAAACAACTGCAGTGTGTGTAAATAATGACTGTGTATTAGAGCAACAATAAGTGAACGGATGGTGGAATTGATGCATACACATCGCACATCATTCTGTTGAAATGTGTAACATATTCATATCAGATTCATCTTCACAAATGAATTACCGTGATGAACACATTAATTGTGACAGTCCTAGTAAAAAATAAACAACGATATTCAAACTATTTCCCACTTAAAAAAGGAGATTTTATACAACTGTCTTTTAAAACTGTTGTAAGAAGAGAGAGTGTTTTGTAATTGTGTTAATGCGGGTGCACGAGGAGAGCTCCAGCACGTTTGTTTGTGGACAGCAGGTGGAGGTCAACGTCTGCACCTGAGACCAACCCACAGGCACCAGTAAGTAAAATCCATTATCATACATTATGAGCACATTTGGGATTGGTTACAACCATGGCCAATCACATGGGCATCTCTTATCCGTTTTAAAAGCAATGCTTTCCCCTGAGTCTTACACAGACAGTTCAGTAATGGAGTAGAGACTACACATTTGATCCCTCTAAGAGGAAACCGTTATTCTTCTGCACGAGTTGCAAACTTGTACCTTTGACTTCAGTTTGCCTTGAAATCCTCACAAGAAGGCTTTAAGTTTATTTCTCTCCTGAAACACTTAAAGTCGTGCTAGGACACGATCACAATGATTCATCTGCTAAACGCAAACTTCTTTGACAGTACTTCATTAAAGCATTACTTGATTTTTTTTTTAATGAAGTGAAAGTGATAGTTTGAGAGCTGCCAGTATGATGGCTGTCCAAAAATTACATGTGTTAGTTGCAAGATTTCTCAGACTGACGTGTTCTTTTATAAGCATGGAGAATTTTGTTTATATGGGCCAAATCCCACATACAGCAGTCTGCTGCCAGAAACACCGTCACACACCAAATCCGCTGCTAAAAACAGTCACCGGCAGATGCACTTTGGTGTTTATTGTTTCTTTTGTTTCATCTTGATTTTCTCTTAAAGCTTCAGCTGCTTTCGGGTTTTTTTTTTGTTTTTTTTAAATCTAACTGTACAATTTGTAACTTGATTTTAAAGATTAAAGTCTTTATCTGGAACTACAGAGCTGAGGGCTGAGAGCCAGTGGTAGGACAGAGAAACAGAGTGTGAAACTCTGGGAAAAAAATAGACTAAGCAGTGTTGAGTTTAATCTTTCACCTTGGTTTGTTTACAAAAACAAACCTATAGCCAGCCTTATCCTTGAAGCTGTTTCGGTTTATAGCTGTACAGATTTGGAGAGAGCTAAAGTGCAAGACTGCGTGGAGCTGCTGGATTAACTATGAAACTCTGCCTCTCCTCCTACTGCGGCTCTCACAGAATCACCAAAATATTGAATAGGTAAAGAGAAAAAATCCCACTGCGCCACAGGAAATACCACTTGATTTCACCAGCGTAGTGTTTGTGTGTGCATGTGTGGCTGTGTGTGCATGCCCAACGGGTGTGCTGTGCAGAAGTCAAAGAGAGCAAGCACTCAAAGGTTATTGATAAGCATTTGAGTAGAGGGCGTCCATTCAAGACTCCCCTGGGAAGATAGGAATTATACTGTACCTGAGGGCAGACAGAATGAGAGAAAAAGAGAGATATGTTGGGGAGGGGACTGTCATAGCCCGGGAGAGACAGAGCGAGAGGCAGCGAGACAATGAGCCAGAGAGAGACAGTTAATGACAAAGAAAGAAGAAACTTTGTGGGAAAGAGAAATCAGAAAGTAAGAATTTCACAAGGACGAGAGAGAGAGTGAGAACAAGGTAACACAAAGACGAACAGATAGAGGACAGGATGAGTGGGGTCTAAGGAGTGTGTGGGTGTTTGTGTCAGTCCAAGTGTGTTCAGGCACGTATGCTCCCCCTAATCAATTATGCATTTATTAATAGAAGGCCTGAGAAGACAGAATTTCAAACAGCTGAACGGTGCAGCAGCTTAGTTAAACAGCTGAATGGTGCAGCTTAGTTAAAGCCTAATTTCTTTTTTAGCAGCACTCCAGCCTCTCCGCTATGAATGCCAATCAGCGTTTAAACCCCACCCTCCTGGCTATAACCCCCACCCCTCCCCCTGCCGCTCCAAAGAATTCTCATCAGAGTCTTGCCTTTGAAATGTACCAGAACCACCACTTCAAACAAGCCCATCGCTGATGCATAGGCGCACACACACACACATGCACGCACGCACACACATACTAGCAGTGCCTCCTGATCACAGAACAACACACAACAGTTAGCGTTTTCATATTACAAGTGACCTTGGCACCAGCATCCCTTTGAAAGCACACCTTTACGGCCACACGGCCGTCATCCAGAGCCGTCCTCAGATTTTCTCTTCTCGTTTGCAGAGAACAAGAAGACCAACTTTGCAGTTTTGCTGAATGCTGATGAGCCTCAACACCCCAAAGAAGGTCGATGTAGATCACATACTCATGCACTTGCTAATCTAGTAAAATTGTGAGTCCACACAAGAGTGACAAAGTCTGCATGCTAATGTGAATCTGATGGCTCATTAAGTCATATAGAGGTATCTACGCCCTAAAAGTGTTCAGCTAAAGTGAAACATTGCTTCGGTGGCCTATCGGATGCCGTAATTTAGACCGGAATCCCATTGAGAAGCAGCCACCAACTGATGAATATTTTACCTCATAAAGCTGTCATCTCCATATTTAACACAGAAACAAGCCAATGCCCTTGTGAGATGGCTGTCAGTTAATTATAAAACTCTCTTCAGTAAAGAGAGAGAAAAAATGCTCCAAATGCAACTCTTAACTCTTCCCCCTACTGATATTAGGAGGCACCAGGGGAAATTTTCACCCCCCCACCCCATTTTGGGGATGAAATTAATGTGACAGAAAGAAAGGCTCATTGCACAGCAGCTAGAAGAAAGGAGGGAGGGAAGGAGAGAGGGAGTGCAGGATGGCGGGAGGGAGCGTCAGGGCAGAGGGAAGAAAGAGTGGAGCGTAGCATGGGATGAGGGAAAGTGCAGGAAGAAGGGAGAGACGACAGAAAGAGGGGAGTGCAGGAGGGTGGGGGTGGGGGTTTGGGGGCAGAGGGATGGGTGTGCATGCTAATTTTATCATTCTGCTGATAAACTTTTCCTCCAGTAATCCTCCAGCTGGGATGCAAGAAGAGATAGCAGACAGGGATAGGCTTGGGAAGTCTCAGCTCATATTAAACAGGCATCCCATACAAAACTCACTCTTCACTATTCTATATTATTCTAGTCATTTCATTTATGTACTTTTTCCGGGTTAACATTTTGTCACACTAATATTTTGCTCATCCTTTTCAACAAAATCAGAAGATCTGGAGCAGGTATGAGGCCATCTGCTCCTTCAGACATGAACATCTCTCTCTCTCTCTCTCTCTCTGTGAGTAAACTGAGGCAGTTACCTTCCTTTCCCATTCACACAACCCCCACCACCTCACTAAGTACCATAAGTCTGTCTTCTCCTCCTCACATCTGTTTATTTTACTCCAATTGGTTCACATGGCAAACACACACACACACACACACACACACACACACA